AGACGGAATAGCTTTAAAATAAAATAAATGTGTTTAATAAACGTAATATATATTTACCTACGTACAAGATATAAACCGGGCATAGAATAAATAAATATAACAATTGTACATGATAAATTAAGATTTCACGACGTCGCGCAGATAATAAGATTTATTTTAGTAATGATTATTAGCTGTAATCTCTAGCTGTAGATAGAACAACAATTTATAACATCTTTAAAAAAAATGCTTTTACTTATCTAATTATAAATTCTGCAGTATAAAATTGCCTTCATTTGTGCAAATTTTTTCATATCTAACTCTAGCGGCGGTTTTACCATTACATTTCATCTTCTCATTTAATAATAAAACGATAAATTATTTGTAATTGAATCAATAGACAGACACGACATCTCATGGATGAAAATTATAGATTGCAACGAACTTGGAGATTTTGAAAATATTTCCCAAAAACATTATTATATCCATACTACGAATTATAATATGCAATTAAAAATTGTTATCCATGTCTCCATACTTGTCTTCCACAATTAGTTTTTATCAAGAAAAAAAGCCTGTGGTTTTTGTGGCGTGAAGCCACGCAGCTTCAAAATGATAGGCTAATTTAGCTTGTAAATTTTTGTTTCCCACCCACTTAAGAGTGCAATTGGATTGATTAATGCTAGTGATCTCATATTTTACAGTCACTGGCACTCGCTACTTTTGATCCGTATAGTAATATGTAGCATTAAAATGCTCATTAACAGTTAACATTAAAGTTTAGAAATTAAGATTATTTTCCTAGAAAAATAAATAACCAAGTTTTGCCATGAAAAACTAACGTGCTAACTTGCTTACTAAGTAGGAGCGGTAACTTGTTTTTAATGGCAGCAATGGAACTCGATGGGAAATAATTATGCTGTCGATGTTAGTTCAGACATGTGCATTAAAGAAAGAATGAATTAGAAATTTTCTGTAACACACAAGTGAAATGCAACATTGGAAAAACGAAGAAAATGTAAGAAATGTAGAAGAAGATAAATTTGAGGTCAAGGTTTGGAATGTAACTCGTCCTCGTAGGTCGTGTCGTGTTGGTTGCGTTGTCGCTGGATTTCGCGCTCGTGCGGTGAAAGCCGATTGCCGATTGCCGATTGCCGATCGTCCGACTCCTTTTCTAGACATGTTTTTTTTTTCCTCTCTTCGTGAAAGAAACTTTAGCGTTGTTGCACGACTCGAGAGAAGGTACGTTTCGTCAACGGTTGTTTATTATTCGCAGAAATTTTACTTGACGGCAACTCGAATGGCTGGCCTACTCTATCCCGACTTTAAATCTATAAATTCGTGCTTTTATAACGTTAAGACATTAATTGACTTTTATTTGTGCTTAAGAATTTATTTCAATCAAATTATTTCATCAAAAAAAAAAAAAAAAAAAAAAAAAAAAAAAAAAAAAATCATTATTATAAACTTGCGACAATTGTTATATTATTATTGACTTGTTATTGATAGTATTCAGAAATGCATGAATAATGTAAGAATAAGTTAAGAGTATAAGAAAAAAAATATAAGATAAACAATGATTTATTGAATCAAGAAAATCTTAAAAGATCATTTAGCCGAGAGATAACATTTTTACTTATATAAAATAAATCCGGCTACGGCTTAAATTATTATCTTTATTTTCAAGTGATTAAATTAGAAACTTTTACGAGCACCGAAGCTAGATTTCGTTATCATGATTTTTAAATTTTCCATTACGTAAATTTTGCATTTCTGAATAAAATAAAATCACTCCTTCTAATACTTCTAAAAGAAAAAGAAAAAGAAAAAGAAAAAGAAAAAGAAAAGAAAAGAAAAGAAGAAAAAAAAATTAAAAATGTAATTCATTCATATGGTTCTGCGAGTACATTATATTTTCTGTACGTGGTGCATATGGACATGAGATCCCTAATAGTGAAATAAATGAAAATAGAATAGCCGGGTGTGTAAAATAGCGAGTTATATATACGCAAATATAAGCGGATTGATGATGACATCAGTCATGAGTGCCTGTTGACGCGCATCTCCTCGTTCACGGGTCGGCAACAGGAAGACATACTGGCATGACATAAGCAGTCGAAGTCAAACGTGCGGCCACTAGGACTATTCTATTCTTTCCTATATTAAAAGCACAAGTAAGTCACTGTTGCGAGCTCCTTTTTCCACCCTTCCAATACGTCCTTCCAATAGTAGGGCATTTTAATTTGACTTTATTATATGCACGATTAAAAGAAAAAAGAAAGGGAAAAAAAATAAATAAATAAATAAGAATGAAAAACCCAAAGTAAAATAAGGAGAAGATATATTAGCAATGTTCGTTGCAAAATATTGTAAATCTAGTTTTCCCTAAATTCTCTGTACAATGATTCAATAACAGACAAATGTATTGAAACGATAGAGCGAGCAATCGTAACTTTAATTTCTTTATTAAAAAAAACAATTCAAGCAACTTAAAAAATAATCTGAGCGGATGTCGATAAATGATGGATTGCGTCAATAATAATAACATGAAAAGCTAATTTGTAAATTTGTAATTGATCGAGTGTACAATGAGTTAAGAAAAAATATTATTAAAACAATTTTAATTCCTAAATCGTTTTGCTATATAAATATAATGGATAAAAATAGCAACAACATAGCAACACTGCTAAATTAATGGCGTTATAAGAGGTCATGTGCATGTTTTTTGTTGAATGTCGAAGAAAACTTCACGATGTGTCTATCCGTAGCGATGTGTACAATAATACATACAAGGAGATTATTGTAGCCATAATGTTTTGCTGTCACGAGGTTCGGTAAATAAATCCCAAAATTATGATTGCGCAATTTGGATGTACTTTTCTTTTACTTCAACTCTGATCGTACAACTGATGAAGGTGACAAAAAATATCGTGTTGACAATTGTCCAAATGGATAACTAGGTTAGCCTGTTGTTAAATTGATAAACCCGTTCTTGTAGACCATCGTCCCTGTCGTCATCGTAACGCGTCATCGACCAATTCATCGATACAAAAAAAAAAAAAAAAATGTCTACGCAACCTTTGCCGAGTAACCAAAACCATCATGATGTATCTACTTTAACATAGTTCACGGTGAAATCGAATGGACTCGGTCGTGACCTCGAGAAAAATTAATTTTCCTTATCCTTTCTTGCATCAAATATTTTTCCACTACACGGACCCGATTATCTTTTCTCAATGACGAAACAAAGAAGCTACTCGATTCGATTTCGATGTTCACATGGCGAGTATTATATAAATATTTCAGTTAAGAAAAAACTTCATTAGTCATTGATGACTACGTGTACTACACTACCACAAACATGTAAATAGTATTTTTTCGTTATTAATTTTAAATAAAAATCATGATGATTATTTCATAGGCTGAAATTGTTGATTTTCTCCCCTCATCTGCAAACTCATTAACGCGATGTGTCGTATGACGAACTAAACAATTCACGTGCTTTTCCAGTTACTTATAAACTTATTTCACACAGTAGATTTTCTAAAAATTCTATTAAAGAAAAAAAAAGAAAAGAAAAAAGTAAATAAATGTAGTAGTGCTACCTAGTGCACTATTATCGCGCAATCTTAAATGCAAAAGTTTCTTACGAGAGTATAGTTGTTGCTTATGCGTAGGTAGAGAACATTAGGCTATTGCACTCGCATTAGTTGGCTTTGTTAAAAATGGTATATGAATAATTATCATCGATATCTGACGCATACTTTCACTTCAGCTCAATTATATCCAAAATAGATAAAAGCATTATCGCTGTTATTTGTCTGATTAGAATTTTTATTTAAAAGTCATATTGAGGTTGCTTAAGATAACTACGATTGTTTTTATACATAATGTGATAATATCTACTATTCAACACAAATAATACTTTTAATAGCAAAATTTTATAGAATTAATATTTCTAATTCTACTGGATTAGAGAAACAAAAAAAAAAAAAAAAAAAAAAAAAAAAAAAAACAAATCAATCTAATTGCCATTAGTAGAGTAATTTCAACTATTGTTTACAAGAAAATTAATACACATAAGCTCGCATCCGCGCGCATTAATATGTTAAAATGCTTATACAACGTATTTTTTACATTATAAAAATCATACAATAATAATCATAATAATAGTAATCATAATAGTAATAACAATGATAATACTAATGGTAATATAACAATAACAATAACAACAACAACAACAACAACAATACATAAAAAATATTATCCAATTTTTTTCAGTAATATTACGAAAATTAACATTACGAAAAGGTACTCAGAGAATCAGCGTACATAAGAATAATTTGTTATATTTCTAATAATTTAATCAAGGAAATAAGTGCTGATATTAATTAAATGCCTTGAATTAAATGATAACATTTTCCGACTATAATGTCAAATGATTAATCAATTTAATATATGTTGTAATAAATTGTTAATTAATTGTTAGTGTATTAATTTTCACGAATAGTTTTAATCATTGGCAGGACATATTTAAAAATTAAAAAATTTTCAATTCTTTACTTTATGAAAAATATTGTTATAAAACTAGGCTACTTAATACATCTATTTTCAATGAATAATTATTTATTAAATTTTTTTTTTTTTGCGTATTTATTACTATTATTGTGTATTATTACTATATTTAAAAATAAAATTATATATAAAGATATTTTAATTTTGAAGATAAAAAAAAAACAAGAAAAAAAAAGAAACAAAACAATAAAAACAATAACAAAACAATGTGTTTTTACATAATAATAAAGATTAATGAAACTATGAAAAACAGAAGAAGAAAAAAAATTTTATATATATATATATATGTATATATATTCATAAAGTTATGTGATTTAATGGACTGACTTGATAAATGCGTGAATAATTAAGAGAATAATAGTATTAAGAGAATTTGTTTATAAAGAAAATTAAGTAGAATAAAGTAATGGAGCAGACGTTATAACGCGAATGCACCTTACTCTTACCTTTTTATACAGCTTAATCCATGTCTGATCACCCTTAATATCCGTATATTGTAGACCGAAAAACCAAACTTCCCTCAGTCCAATGGTTTTGACGACCTGATCGAAGAGTTGTTTGCCGGTCGTTGTTTGCTGAATCGCAAACTCCAGCTCTGCATCCATCGTCGTCACCCGCACATTCATCTTCATTTGTCATTTTATTTCCCGCGAACGGCACATGAAACGTTTCATAAAAAGAATGTCAACCTTAATATTTCCTCTGCCCTTGCGCTTTAAAAATCATTATCGGTCGATAGTAGTGAAAAGTAAGGTTTACGAGACTTTTTTTCAATATTTCTTTTTTTTTTTTTTTCTTCTTTTTTCTTCAAAATACTCGCAAGCAACGTATTATTATTATTATTATTATTATTATTATTATTATTATTATTATTATTATTAATATTATTATTATTGGCAGAAGCGAGCAAAATGCCTCCTTAAAGCCTCTATCGAAATAAGTAAACGCGAAAGAGTTCGAAGCAGTAGTGCTGGTTACGGATGGATTTGAATGTAACGTATTTTTTACAACGACGCCTTCTTGAACGACGCCTCGCGTACTTTCTAGCCGCGACCGACCATTCATAAATGCTTATTGGAAAATTCGAGGGATTAAGAGGCGCGTGCACGCTCATTCGACATACTATTGCTGATCTCGGGGACAGTCCCGCCGTCTCACCTTGCGGCTCATTAAAAGAAAACAATCGAGGAAAAGCTTTAGGGAGACGAGAATACGGGATTGCTAAGGCGGCGCCGTTATAAGAGACAATATGCGAGGAGAGAAAGACAGAGACAGAGACAGAGACAGAGAGAGAGAGAGAG